ATGGTCTTAGAAGTTCCCTGTTTTGGAATAGGTACAAGAGTTTTATCGGGTGGCTGTTTCCCTCGAGACATCTTTTTTGAGTGGAAATGGGTATGTTTTGAAAGTTGTGCCCAAGCCACTACCCCAACCCTTTCAGGGGCATCTTCAGCCACTAGACACTTATTCTAAGCAGTATATTCCCCATGTTCCACGGGATTTCAGTGGTGGTTTGAGGGTTTTGGACAGTTCCGAACCTAAAAACAATTAATCAATGTCAGGAAGCCAAAAAAGAACCGCCAAAATTTTGCGGAAGTGGATTTCTTATTATACTTATTTCCATTTCGAGAACTTCTGATGCCATCTTTTCAGCACCGCTTCAGGCTGCAGCTTTCGGCGGCGCCGCCGGCCATCCGCCGCTACCTCCCCGCGGAAGACGCGGCCAACCTCCGGCGCCTGGCGCCGGCGCTGGACGCGCGGCTGGCGCCCTCGGCGGCAGCTGGGGGGGGGGCCCGGCCTGGCCTGCGTTGGGGTTGTGGGTTTGGGGTTTGCAAGGGAAATCAATCAGAACCATATTTTTGCTTGTGTTTTGGCAACCTCCAAATCACGGGAGTCTGGTTGGGGAATCGTTCCCCACTTGCATATGTACATGGATCGATCTAGAGGGCACAATCAAAGAGAATGTGTGTGTCAAGCAAAGGTTCAGGCAAGAAAAGCCTTGAACGTCAGATTTCGGTGGACCTCAAAGGGCATAATGTGTTGGGAACATCAATTTACAGCTTCGGAGCGGGACATCTAGTGACCTTTGCCTATTTGTTTGAGAACTATGACCCTGTTTCCCCCTGCAGGGCGGTTTTAAGCACCACCTTTTGGATAGGCCGACCAGAACCACTTTTTCTTGGGCTGGGGCGATAATTTTCAGGGTATCCTGGAGGGTGGTTGCTTCAAGCGGGATCACGAGCTGGGTGACAGAGACAAATGATTTGATTCGAAATTTGTTCACCAATGATGTTTCAGACATGAGTGTGTCTTAATATAGGGGGACCACCAAAATTTAGACTTTCTGTTTTCCCTTTCAAGCCAACAGAAAAGGGTACGCCGAAAAAGGACACCGCATTGACTGGTTTGCCCTGAAATTGTCAAGTTTCTTTGCAACGTGTGGGTTCTCTGAAATATATAGGGGGATTGTCCGAACATGTTTGCGTTTTCATACATGCTTCTGTGTTTGTGATTGGTCCTCGTTTTTTCCTTGGACTGGGGGGGAGGGCTTTGGCAACTTCAAGTCCCAAACTAAGGAACTCTTTGGCATCCTTTTGTGTCTTCCTTCCGACGAAACGGACACAGCTGTCAAATGACGCAACACACATGTTCAGACTTCATGGACCAATATGGTTTTGTATCAAGACTCATTGGGCTCCTTTTGTCCTATGCGTGTTGAGTGCTGTGGAGACTTTGTTGGTTTTGCAAGCCAACTAGTTGGCAATTGTCGTGTAGCAGCTGCTGCTATCGGCTATGTTTTCGGAGGTGGCTTGGAATGTCGAAGATGTCCGGCGCATTGGGACTTCAGTATTGAACACTTGTGATAGTCCCTCGAATTGGTTGCTTCAGCAGGCTTTCCAAGCTGCCACATTGGTTTCTGGGTGTTTGGGGTTGCGTACTTGATCATGGCTCGTGGACGCCAGGTTTCTCTTTCTCTAGGGCAGTTACTCTTAAGTTCGTCCAAAGCAGATGTCCTTCTCTCATGGGAAGTCAGCAGGGAACAGAGAAGCCCCGCTTTCCCAAACCTCCAAAGCCTGAGTCTTCCACATCCCAAGTGAGGCGGGATGCGATCCCACGGATGATAGCCGCTGCGATGGACGGTTCCGCACTTTGGCGCGGGCCCTGGGTTCTGGAAACATCCCGACCTTGACACATTGCCAGACTGGGCTTACCTTTGCAGTTGTTTGCCTTGCCTTTGTGGTTTTCCTGCATGCTTCCTTTCAACCAACAAACATGTTAGTTATCTTTTTGCAGGCGGTCAAAATCTGCCCCCCCAGAAAAATGGAATGGTGGGGATCTCCACGTAGTCAATTTGTCCCCAGGAGCATTCCATCAGACAGCTCTGTTTTTTTTGGCTTCCTGAGATGCAACCCCGAGTGGCGTTTCGGTGCGTCGCAACGCGCGTTTCCTGCTTATGAGGTGAAGTCTGTTGAACAACCCCTATACTTTACTGGGAACCTCTGCAAAGGAAGAGGGAGGCAGATCCGAGTCAGGTGACCATCCAAAAGATTCGCCTGCATGGGACCACGCCTTCAGACTCGGAGTGCGAGACCTCAGGTGCACGGTGACGCTAAGCCGGGCAACCTCCTCTGCACCCGGGGCCGCGATGGTTATCGGTGCGCGGCTTTAGACTTCGGCTGGGTGGGCGAAGGCCAGCTCTCGGTCCACCGACTGAGCTGAGAAACGCTTGGGGCTTGCGGGTTGCCGTGCAAATGGGCTTCTAGGTTTGAGGAATCCCGTTGGTGGGTAGTTTGAAGGGAAACTTATGGGAAACCCACCGTTATCCAGGCTCGTATTGAAGTCTCCGTCGTTGCGTTCCACGTCTCGAGCTCCAGGCTACGGCATGTACGACGTGGCATACTTACTGTGGGACCAGATGGCGACCAACGTCGTTCAGGACGGCGGGGGACATGGCACACACATGCGGAGAGTGTTGTTTTGGTTTTCTTTTGTGTTGGGGAAACCGCTCTCAGTTAGTTGCATTGCAACACGCCATTTCTATTTTGGGAGTGACTTGTAGCCTTACAAAGCCGGGCACTTGACTGGCGGTTCCTTTGGAAGTGACGTTCCTTGAAATGAGCTCGAGTCCCATCAAGGCCTAAACCCTGCCCAACCCCTTTGTTCCATGCAGGGAATTGATGGTTCGTTGTGCTGAATTTCGGACACGTAGCGCCTCACTAATTCTCACTTGATAGTTGATGAAATGTCTGGTTCCACTTGTTCCACTTGTTTTGAATCTGCTCAGTTCAGCTTGGTGCTCTGGTTTTTCATCACTTGGCTCCCCTCCTCTTCATCATCCTTTGGATCCCTCGCGTTTCCTTCCACCGTGGTCAGCCCCAGGATCTGCTGGACTTCTACCACGCTTTTCTGGGGGAGCTCCTCCCGGCGGATGCGGCGGCCGCCTACGACAAAGACGTGGCGCGGGACCACTTCGAGCTGTGCGTGGTGGACTTCATGCGAGCCACGGCGCATGTGTGCGGGTGGGGTGGGGTGGGGAGGGCCTTGCCGCAGATGCAATACTCATGGAGTAACAATCGCCGCTGCAGGCATCAACTTGACAGGACACTAGTGCAATTTGAGGCCCAAATGCAAGACTCTGGAGAAGGATCTGCTTAATGTTACGGAAGTGATTGCTTGCTTGCTTCGCCCCTCCCCGGAGAGGATGATCAAACTGAGAAACACATTGCAAGCTACTAACCGGTACATATTCAGTGGGCTGTGTTGTCCATGTGTTCTACAAGTAAACAAACAAACAACACCGCACCGTCAGACAACGCCGCAACAACTACAAGCAAAACAACGAAGCAGCAAGGCCACAGATGAGAGATGGTGTCCTTTAAAACGCGCCCGGCTAAAATGGGGTGATGCTTTTTTCCTTTAACGAAGCCTCATCTCAACCTACCCTCACAAAGACGACGACGCTTGTGGAGCCCTGCGCTTCAGCATCTCAGGCTGGCAGCTGGGATTTCAAGGCGGTCGCCACTTTTGGGCCATGCGCCTTGGACCCCGGGGCAGGGGATTCGCCGAGCTTTGGCGAAAGAGGGGTCGGGCGTCCAAACAGAAATTGGGCTGGACTGCTATGGGGGGTTTGTTCGTTTCCCTTTTTGCTTTTGTGCGGTTGCGCGGGACTTGCGGCACTGGCGCGGGTCTCGGCTTTTGGCTTTAGGCCCGGTTTGATCCAGTCAGCCTATAGGAGGTATGCGCGAAGCAGGCCTGAGCCTGGGGCTGGTTTACTGGTTGTGGACACTTGGGTTGTAATTAGGCCCGCTTTCTACTTGCAATGGTTGGCTTCTTGACCTTGGCCCAATGGCCCATTGCTTCCAGTTGCCATGATATAACCAGAGGAACCATCATGCAAAACCCAGGGGTAGTAATACAGAGTTACTATGGATACCTACTATAGTGGCAGCGGCAAGCACTGGGATTGCTGGGGCAGGATCAGGCAGTCTCCATATTCTGCTCAAGTTCAAAAGAGCCCACCTGTTTGGTCAAGAACAGCCAAGCTTGGGCAATCAAAACAACCCGGCTTCAGGTTTTAACGCCTTCCTGGCGTTTAGAACGTGGCAGAAAGCGGCCCCTGTGCAATTTGAGTCGCTGCGTTGCAACCACCTCCTTTTCGTCGCCTAAGGCCCTGGGCCATGGACATCTTCCGCCGCACCTTGGCGCGCCTCGGATCCGGCGACGCTGGCGAAGCGGTGGCCCGGGAGTTTCCGTTGCGGAAAGAAACCGGGAGCGCTTGAGCGCCTGCGCGTGCGCGGCCGGGTTTCGGTGGGTTTGTCAGGGCTTGCGTTTCTGCGGGTGTTGGTGGGTTGAGTTTACTGTTGTTGGCGGAATTTCCCACGGGGGGATGCGCCGCTGACTTGGAGATGTGCCCTCGGTGTTTCGAGTTTCCGCACGGATTCGTTTGATGGTATATGATTATTTGCCCAGGGTTAAGAAAATGGAAATGTGTGTGTGTGTGGCTGAGGAGTTGAAAGTACGACTCTTTATGCAATGAAGGGTAGCCTGACGCCTAGAGCCATCAGTGCAGGTTTTCAGCACGAAGTGTCGTGCGTTTTGGGCTCTTGAAAGGATCATGAGAGGATCGCGTTGCTTTCGGGCCTAAACAAGGGGAGAAATTGGGCTTAAATCGGAACCTACAATAAACAATCGACTGGAAATGGGCCAAGCAGGAAAACCATCGGTTTCCTATCGAACTTCCTGTGGCTTTCTTAAAAGGGCGGGTAGGTCGGACACGATCAGAGGCCGTCAGTGAGTCGCGCCAGGGGAAGCCAAGCTCCCGGCCACAGCCACGGGCCCAGGGAGAAGCGCCGTCCAGTGGAAACCGAGGGGCTCCGCGGCGCCCCTGTGACCCTTTCATTCACGCAGAAGTTGACAGGACACCCAGAAACCCAGCGTTTTGAGAGAGAAATCTGCTTTTGGGATGGGTGGCTGTGCTTGAGGTGGATGGTTTAGTGCTGGTTTATGGTGGGGCTTCTTGGGGTTGGTCTCGGATGGGTTTTGTTAGGGCTGGTTTAGGGGTGGGTTTAAAATTGGCTTCGGTCGTGGTTTTGTTTAAGTGGGCTTAGGGTGGCTTAAGGTACCTCAAGCACAGCCACCCCAAATTTGCTCTCAATAGGCCTGGAACCCAACCGAAGCCAAGCCTGAGCCAACCTGGAACCCACCCTAAACCCAACCTAAACCAAAGCCTGGTGATGCTGAGGATGTTGAAAACGGTGCTAAGGATGTTAAAACGATACCAGGCCTGAACCTTCCCTAAACGGACTACCCTAAACCCACCCCAAACCTTTGTCCGTTAGTGTCTCCTTTCGTGCACGCCAGGCTGTGCCAGGGTTAGGCTAATGCCAACAGCCGGCTGCGGAAGTGGCCAACGCCGGCGCTTGAGGGAAACAATTCACAGAGGGCAACCGTCACGGGCTGACTACACATGCCAATGGCACCATGCAATTGCGCGGTACCCTTTTCTGGGTTTGTTTTGAAGGGAAGCCAGGACGACAATCGCTCGTTTTGGGCTACGACAAACCCGTGTCAGGATTTACAGACGGGTAACATGCCCCCGGTGAGCAGCGGATCATGACACGCAAAACGAAGCTCGCTTCACGTTGGCTCCCACAGGTGCAAGACGCGGTGGCACAAACCGACACCTTTGAGCACGGACGCCCAGCTATGGAAGAGTCTTACTTGGCAAGGACTGTGTTCATGAGGAAATCTGGGTGTGCAGCGTCACATGGTGAACACACGCAGTGCGGTTGACATTTGTGTTCGTGATGTTTTATGTTTGTTTAGCAGGGTGCCTCTTGATACTTTGCATTTTTGAAGAATGGCGTGGACTCCTAGAACTTGATTGCGCAGGTGACCCAGCAATAGAAGAGCTGCAAAGCAACGCCAACCTCAGTTCGATGCATGTCGATGCCACTCCTGTACCAGGCGCACTCCATTGGACAACAGTAGGGAGTCAGACAGAAATGTGGCGCAGCAATCAATGTTCACACATCAAGACAATCCGTGCGTGCGACACGTGACGCCCGCAGCTGTGTGTCGATCAGGTAAATGGATGAGGTTGGTGCTTTGATAGTAGTTTGTTTGGACTACCTTTTTGTTGCGTGCTCTCGGCAGGGACATTTGCACTTTGAATGCTGTTGTGTGGGTGGTTGATTGTTGGAACCCACAGCAACTCATGATACCAATGGTCATGCAACAAGTCTTGGACCACACTCCAGTAGACACATCTCCAAGTGGTTTGCTCAGGCTGCGGCTCGTGGTTTCCGTCGCTGCTTTCTTCAAAATACGTTGCTGGTTGTGTGCACCTATCCTTTTGGGATACCTTGCGGGTTTCAACTTGTGCCATTTTGTAGACAGGCAGTCATCTCTTGGCGCCCTTTTTACGCTGGCTATAGTAGCCTATTTGATATGGCTGTGGGTCCAAAAGAGGTACCCAGAATGGAACCTGGTAAATGGAAACATGGACGTAAACCTGCGGTTCCACTGGTGGTTCAATTTTGACCCATACCCATATTATATGTTATTTCTCGTTTGGTGGGTCCGTTTTGGGCTTTTTTTTTGGTGGCCGGTCTGCACAAAAAACAAAAGTCCGTGTGCATGTCCGAGGCTGGGAACGCCTCGGGCCGCGGTGCTGCGGGGTGCCGCCGCCAGCGGCGTGCGGCACCCAACCTGGTTGGCCGCGCTGGGCGGAAAATAAATATATACATACATATGTTTTTTGGCTGGTTGAGTGCTGAAGAATTGGCACATGCCAAAATGAGTACGGGTCAAAATAAACCCAGGGGACCGCAGGTTTGAGTCTTTGGTTCCATTTACCAGGGTTCCATACGCATTTTTGAGCCACAACCAAATCAAGGCCTCACTGTTGGGAGAGCTCAACCGATTTGTGGGGAATCATGTCTACCCACTCAGAACCTGACTGGAGGAAGATCAGGGCCCTCGGAGGCCCTCTGGTCGGTTCCATATGAAGCACTAGTTGCTCAGTGGTTTTGTTTGGCCTTCGTGGACATTCTATGCTTGAGTACCCCAGTGATTCCATGTACCTTCTAAAGTAGGGAAATAAGATAACCACCCTTTAGAAACCAACGGGAGAATGGTTGACTGGTAAGTGGGATCCACGGGGTGAGAGTGATGAGGGGTTTGGGCCTTGCAAATTCTGAGTTGGCTGCTTTAAGACCGCTACTGAACGGGTCAAGGAGGTTGTTTCGAGCCGGAAGGCCTCACTGAGAAGCACGCTGCATGGGTGTTACTACGACAGGGGCCAGCAGACTTGTTTGGAAAGCGTTGATGGCTTTTGTCACTTTGTGAGGATGGATGGCGCAGCATCAAGAACGGCCTCACGGAAACACTTCGAACATCATTTTAGTGTGTCAAAACTCGGGGTACCCTTCCAAAGACACTGGCTTTGTTTGACGGTTGCTTAAGAAGTGGATGTTTGTTGTTTGGCCCTTTTCGTTGACCCCCCCTTTAAACAGAGAATCAAGGGCACCCTGTTTGGCCCTAAATTGAAGCCTTTGAATTGCCCTCCGGCCTGCCATCAGATTGCCCCCGTGAAGGGCCAGCCAAAATGGGTCTCATGGGGGACCAAGTCAAAGGAACACTGAGAGGGTAAGTGGAGGTGCTGAATACACGCGGCCATGTTTTGAAGCGCTGGTTGGTGGCAAGGTATTGGACCAGACTTGGCCAGCTTGCAACTTCTGGTATAGCTTTTTCATTTTTTCAGTTACGTGAACAGACAAACCATGCCCAACCTGTAAGCTTCAACAAATCCGGCCAGGCAACTCAGCAGGACCAATTGTACTTCATCAATTTGCTTCCCTCAAGAACACTCCAACTGTTCAGGTCCGTACCTTCGTACCAGGTGGTTCGTTTTCCCCCACGTGCCGCAGCTGGGGTTCCCGCACGTGCGCATCTAGCGGAGGCCTGCAGTCGGCAGGAGGAGGAGGAGGCCATTGACAAGCTGCGAGAAGCTGCCCCTTCGCCGAAGGGAGGTTGTTGCTGGTGTGTGTGTGTTTTTTGGGCGGGTTTTAGAGGGGTATTGGGTGGCGTTTTTGTTTGGGGCTTATAGCGACCCCACCCAGCAGGGTTTGGCGACCTCACGTATGAAAATGTCAGTTTGGGGGGGGCTCTCCTACTTCAGAAGGATGGCTTGTTTACTCGCTTGGGCGAATTTGTTCGCATTTGCTGGCTTCAGTGCTGCGTTCCCTGTCAGCGCCAAGCAGAAAGGCCTGCAGTCGCGGCCTATCGGGCAGCAGCCATACGTAGCTCCTCAGGGGGGATGAGCATGCATGAGGCCTGATTGTTCGGTGACGCCCTGGCATGAACCTGCTTTGCACCTTGCAGAAAGCGCGGCTGGAATCTTTATCATCTGCCAGGCACTTGTGTGGCAGAATCGTAGCATCTCCTCCAAATGCTTTGTTTCAGATTAGTGTCTCCTCTGAGCAAGGACCATACGAAACTTGTCCTAAGTTACTAATTACATTTTGACATATCCCCATACGGTCTGCTGATATCGAGCGCGCCCGTCCGCTGGGATCAACGCATGTAGAGCTGCTACCGAGCACCACCTGCTGGGCCAGTCAGTGCTTGGACTTGGAGCACAGGTCCCGAAGTTGCAAAAGGCTCAACTCCCACGGGAGTTTGGATGTGAGCAAGACAGACCTTTGGGTGTGAGCCTGTGTTTGCCAGATGCGTCGGTGCGTTTGCAAGTGCTCGCAAGTGGAAACAGTTGCTTTGCTTGCCATTGAGGAAGGCTCAGAGTGTGCGGTGTCTTGAGCATGGGAGGCGCTCGTGTGGCATGACCGTTGGCCCTGTCGTACAATCGGCTCGCTTAGGTGAGTTGAAGCTTTGTCCGAATCGGTCGAAATCACTGTGTCACAAGACAGAGAGGTAGGTAGATAGATGGATAGATCGGCAGGCGGATAGGTAGACAAAAGTTTGAAGAGAAAACAAAGAAATCTAGATAAATGAATAGATAGGCAGGTGGACACATTAGATTGGTAGATAGATCAGATAGAGGGATAGGCAGATAAATGGACAGATAGGTGGATAGATGTACAGATGCATAGAAAGACACACTGATGGATAGAACGATTAAATAGATGCACGGATGCATCGGTAGATGGATATATAGACAAATCAATAGGTCAATTGGCAGGTAAATGGATAGGCAGAGGCATACACAGATAAACATGCAACGGCAGCTTTGGGCAATCTATCTGCATTCATATTACTTGGTGGCTCTCAGCCATCCGGTTCCTGGGCTTTTTAGCCTTTTAGTGTTTAGTGGGGATTTGCATTTGACCCACAAAAAGTTATTCACTGTTTGCGGGGGATCTGAGGACAGCCGAGATTGGTGTTCTTTTGGGCCGAGGTACGGCAGCTGCAAGACGCCCGGCACCGGCAGACCAAGGCCGGCGTTTCGGCCAATCGGGGGGGGGGGGAGGGTACTGGACTGTTTGGAAAGGTCTGAAATGGCAGGTGGTTCTTCTTGGATGTATATAATTTAGCTGTATACGAGAGGTCGTTAACGGCATTTTCCAGAAAACCTGGGCAAGTGGCGCGCGAGGGAAACGCGCGGGCGAGCGAGCGGGTGAACGTACGAGTGTGCGAGCGCACGCGCGCGTAGACGGACGAGTGGACGGACGAGTGCGCGGTTGGACGGACGGACGGACGGACGGACGGACGCACGCACGGACGCGCGCGCGCACGCACGCACGCACGCACCCGTCCGTACAGAAATAAGGGCAGAAATAAGACCATTTTATGGTCTTAAAAAATGTCTTATTTCTGTACGGGCCCGCGCGTACAGAAATAAGACCTCTTTTAAGACCATAAAATGGTCTTATTTCTGCCCTTATTTCTGTACGGACGGGTGCGTGCGGTGCGTGCGCGCGTGCGTGCGTGCGTGCGGGCGCGCGCGTGCGCGTGCGTGCGTCCGTCCGTCCGTCCGTTCGTGCGTCCGTCCGTCCGTCCGTCCACTCGTCCGTCTACTCGTCCACTCGTCCGTCCACGCGCTCGTTGCTTCAAAAGCACCCCGCACGCCCCACCTCGCGCGTTTTTGAGAATTATACGTTTACGAGTTCTTAAATTTAGCTAATATATAATGCTAAACTCCAAAAGGCGGGTGGCAAGGACCACCCTCTTAGGTCAACATGGAACCCCAAGAAAGCATTTGTTGTGAGGAGCATCCTTTTGGGGATCGATACGTGAAAATATTTGGCATGGAGTTCAGGATCGGCCCACTGGCTAAAGTACTCTTCCATACACTCCCCCACAGATGTGAAACCAAAAAGTCTTGTTTTGAGGGGTTCAAATATTTCAGGGGAGAAGCAAAACCTGAGTATCAGCCGGGGTCGACATTGTTTAGTGACCAGTGAATCTACTGGCCGACGTACCGCAGAAACCATGGTCGCCTTTCCACTACGAACAATTGCATGGCTTGGAATCGATGGCTTAAGTCGGCAAGCAAGATGACCGGTGACTGGGCGCTGATTGATCTGCGTGTTTTTCCATAGCCGGCCCGTTGGCTGACCGCAGCGCTGATCAGTGTGCTCTTCAAACTCAGTTTCGATTCGTTCAGGATTGCGGGCATGGTTTTCGAGGTCCTGTTGAGGGGCTCGTAAGAAGTGGTCGACATTCTCCTTGCGCAACCCAATGCGACTTGCTTTGGCATAAGGCGCTTTGTGCGATTCATTCACCACACATATATGGGCGACGGTCAAAAACCCATGTGTAAAAGTTTAGTAAGGAGCATATTCATGTGTTCTGGCGCTGCGAGCGCGAAAGGTCGCGAGTGGGCGCCGGAAGGTTTGGCGAAAGGGCTGGCCACAATGATGATAATGGATGCTGATTTAGCACTCTGAATGGTGTGAACCTTTTTTTTGAATGCTGTAGAAATAGCTTTTGGACGGTTGTTTATGCAAAATGTGCCCCTCGCGCCTGCATGTTGGTATGTCGTTGTTGGGGGTTGCCCAAAAGCTATTTCGGCCAAGGCCAAATAACATTTGGGCCTGTTTCGGGGTTGGTCCGCAAGATGCAAGCCAGGGCACCCCCAAAACCTTTTTTTTGCATTGGACAATAACATTTGGGCAGGTTAGTCTTTCCTTGAGAATGCAGACCAGGGCACCCCCAAAACCTGTTTTGGGCACTGGAAAATAATTGGGTTGGTTTGCAGGCCAACCAAGTGTCCAAATGAGTCTTTCCCTTGGGGGCTGGGTGGATGTTTAGGTGTGTGGATGGACGCATGAGAATACAGACCAGGGCGCGCCCAAAACCTGTTTTTGGCACTGGAAAATAACATTTGGGCAGGTTCTGGGCTGGTTTGCAGGCCAACAAGCCAAAAGTGTTAAATGAGTCTTTTCCTTGAGACTGGAAAAAATATTTGGGCAGGTGTTGGGTTGGTTTGCAGGCCAAGGAGCCGAAAGTGTCCAAATGAGTCTTTGGCACCCACAAAACCTTTTTTTGGCGCCGGAAAATGGGCAGGTGTTTGGCTAGTGTCCAAATCAAATGGTTTTTTTTGAAGATGTGTGGATGGATGGATGGATGGATGGATGGATGGATGGATGGATGGATGGATGGATGGATGGATGGATGGATGGATGGATGGATGGATGGATGGATGGGTGGGTGGGTGGGTGGGTGGGTGGGTGGATGGATGGATGGGGGGGGTGGGTGGATGTATAGGTGTGTGGATGGACGGATGGCAGGGCGCACCCAAAACCTGTTTTGGGCAATGGAAAATAGCATTGGGGCAGGTTTCGAGTTGGTTTGCAGGCCAACAAGCCCAAATGAGTCTTTTCCGTCAGAATACAGACCAGGGCAACCCCAAAACAATTTTTGGGCGCTGGGAAATAATATTTGGGCAGGTGTTGGGTTGTTTGCAGGGCCGAGAGTGTCCGAGTCTTTTCCAGGGCAGCCCCAAAACCTGCTTTTGGCACTGGAAAATAATATTTGGGCAGGGGAGGGGCCGAATGTGTCGGCAATAGCATTTGGGCAGGTGTTGGGTTGGTTTGCAGGCAACCAGCCAAAAGTGTCCAAACGTGTTCAAATGAGTGTTTCCTTGAATACACAGACTAGGGCACCCCAAAACCTGCTTCAGGCATTGGAAAATAACACTCGGGCTGGGCCGTTGGTTCCCAAAGCAGGCTTTTGACGCATGGCTTTGCTGTTGTCGACGGAGGGTTGTCGACCATGTGCGCCCCACTGTGGGCGCGAAAGAAAGCGCAAGTTTCGCGAAAGGGCGCCAGAAGGCCAAAAAAAAGACAAAAGAATTTCGACCAACGCCCATATGGGGCTGGTCAAGTGGGGACTGGTCCCCCAGGAATGTACTTGTTGCAGAGGTCGGGTACCCTTCTGGCAGGCAAAACTAAGCACAAGTCAGATGGGCTCTTGGCCGGTTTCTAGTTCAGAGGGCCACGTCTTCGCCCTGTTCTTGTTCCTCCAGGCAAAAGCGGGGGAGCAGCGCGCGCTGGAAGAGGCAGAGATCCGCTGCACGAACACTGCAGGGCCTAGTGCCCGGCATTTCACACCTAGACCTGCGGTGCCATAGTGTTTGTTGGGCAGGGCATAGGGACACCGGGAGGAGGGGATTTCCTGAACTCGACAACACAAAAGGGCGCCTTTGTCCGTTAAATGGCTAGCGTTGCGAAGCAAAGCAAAGCTTGCATGCAGACTGTTGTTTGGTGTCCCCTCGCTTTGCTGAAGTATTAAAGCTGCAAAAGTGGCGCCCTGTGTCAGGAAGCACCCATTTACACAAGCGGGGAGGAACAAGACGTGGAAGAAAAAGTAGTATAGTAGAAGAAGAAGCAGAGGAAGGAACAACAATCGTAAGAACGCTCAGAAGAAAGATCTAGTGAGTGCTGAACCGCCATAGAATTAGGGTGCCCTGTGTGTTCGGGACCCAAAAGCGCGATGCCAGATCCAAAAGCGCGATGCCCTCATTGCGCAGCTACGGGAAGAGCTGGTGCCGCGGTTGGAGCAGGGGGGGGAGGGTGTGTGTGTGTGTGTGTGCTTTTGGACGTGGCTGTGATGTTTGATGGGTCCTGAGTGGTCTGCGATATTGTAAGGACTAGATATGGAACATCATTTGAAAGGGGGATTAGGTGAACCCTTTGGTTGCAGCAAGACAACTTAGCACCTTTCCACACACATTTTATATCTAGAAATACAGAGTGCCTTTCTCTTTCCACTTGTCCGCGCTTCACTCTTTCCTGTCGCCCGGTGAATCTCACAAGAAGAGCAACCAGTTTAGTGTATGTAGGTATTCCGCGTAAGGGGCCATGGCCATGATCCTTTGATCCAGAGTTTTTACCACGGCTCATGTTGCCCCCTGCTTGCCTTGGTGAATCCCACCTTTCCGCACGTGGCAGATCGGCACTTGACAACGAGAGGTGTTTCCCAACATTTTTCTGGATGTTGGGTTGCTTAATATAGAACAGAACCTGAGGGTCTTCTGCAAAATGTGTTTACATTTTTGGAGTTGACTAGTAGAGAACAGAACCTGAAATGATTTTCAGTGTACCCTGTTCTGCCAAGGAATTGGGAAGGTGTACGGGACATTTGCGCTTTTTCCGGGGCTCATGAAGCCTGCGTTTGCCAGCTGATTGGAACACTGTCAAAACATGCTTGTGCTTCTTTTGAGGATACTCTTTTTGGAGTTTCAACGGCCCGGTTTGGGTTCCTTTGACAGCGGTCTTCGATTTTTTCACCTTCAAGGGTGGTTTTAAACATCACCTTAACTCGCATAGGTTTTCCTGGTAGAGGTGATGTTTTTTGCGCGTTGGACCTGGGTTCCCACCTTGCACGGCGCCCGGATATTTCTCCTGATGTGTCAGCGTTTGCGGAGCTGGGCGGAGGTGTAGCCCGTTGAGACCGATGCGAGAGTCTCACATGCATGTGGCATGAAGAGCTTGATTGTGTGGAAGGCAGCCTTATAAGTGAACCTAGAATATGATATTTACTGCAGAATGTTATGCTTGCCGAGAAATGTGTGCACGTGTGGCATTTATTGAGGAGTCCATGATTGATACTTACCACACGCCTCAAGCAACATGGCGCGTCTCGCCATTGCGTTTCACCATCCGCCGCTGAGGCTCCTCTTGTAGCGATTTCCAACTATTCGAGCCTCTTGTGGGATCGGACAAATGTCGCCGTATTGACAATATTGGGAGTCTACAGGTAAGCGCCCACAAAAACCAGAGCCGCGCCAATAGGCACTATTGTCCAGGTTCGCATGGTTACAGTAGTCGACACTTACATCGATTTCCCTGGATGTCCCCTTTTCTACTCCCTGAGTTCGTGGACTTTCAGCTTTTTGGGAAGACCTTTTTAGTGGCGCGCAAAAGGATTGAACTTTTTTGGGCCATCCACTCAGGAGGTGAGTTGTTCAGCGGCCTTTTCGCTCCTTTTGGGTTGCCATTTTAAGATACTCTTTGGAGAGCCATGCCAGGTTGGGGTTGGAGGCAGCCCCAAGAGCCGGACAGCCTTAGTGTTTGGTTCTCATTTTTAAAAGGCACTAGAAGGAAGAAGACATGTAGAGGGGTCCCCCGGCTATATACTGCGGCCAAAAGATACCAAACGATACTCAAAGAAAAAAACAGGTTTTGGATGGCCTGGGTGTCGCTCCCTCGATGCGGAAGTGCGCGGAAAGCCGTGCGAGCTGCAAAAGTAGAGACGCACGTGCGCGCAGCAGGCAAAAACCGTCAGATGCGCAACGTGCTCACTTGGCTTTGTTGGATGGCTGCCTTTCCGTTTGTTGGTTATCTTCTGCATGCATAGGCAAAAGCAAGCAGTGTTGACTGCCATGTGCTGTTTGTCCTGCTCATTTTACCTGTTCTAGTTGTTTGTTTGGGCGAAACCTTCAGTGATGTGTTAATCAGATATTTCGTTCCACTCAGTCAAGCTTGTTTGCTATTTGGAAGAATGTGTTGCTTGGTGCGTGCAAGCTTTTGCTGAGGCTTCTTTTTCTGATGGTTTCTACAGATTTGTTGAACGCTGCGACAAGTCGGTCGTTGGTTCGCAGCTTCTGGGCTCCTAGCGGCCATGCAACTTGACAGGGGAGGGTTCAATTCGGTCGATTGGGACAGGTTTCTTCAGGTATCATGACTGACTTGACGCGCGGTACATGTTTTGTCTTTGTTGGCCAGCCGCAGATGTACGGTGAGATGATCAGTGTTTTTGAGTTGGCCCCTATAGCCAGGCCAGACATGCGCCACACATTCACACAAGCACTCACGTGTGAAGAGGTTGCTTCGCGGTAAGCCCAGGCTCCGTTTGGGATGTGTAGCTCTTTGCTTTGTGAAGAGGAACGGTTTGCCACACCGGGGACTACCTACCCTCTTTGGGTCTGGTTGGGCAGCAAGCTACCCACCCACGAGTTTCAGGATTGAAAGACGAGCAGTTTGGGCAACAGAGCAGCGCAATGGCGGATGCTGCTGCAGAGGTGAAGGACTCTGCGGACATCTCATAAACCCGAATCCATTACAAGAACCTCGCGGTTGAGCGGCAATCCACCCCGCTTGTTGGTTGCATCGGAGGAGTCAAGATTCTGTATTGAGATACATTACTTCTTGTTTCTTTGCAGTTGACGCCGTTTATCTTTTCCCCTGTAATGATGTATGTGACATGTTCGATATCCATTCATATCCATTCGCCTAGCCGGATCCCGAATATCTAAGATGGTTTCCACTTTACATTGTGGCTATATAGTGGTTGTAAATCCCATAAATCCCTGCATGGGGGGAATGGTTTGGGGGTAGTGGAAAGAATCTTAGAGAATATCACCACCTGTGAAGTTACCAGCTATCCTGTTTGCTTGACAAGGACCTGGTTTCCCGAATTCACTCCAGGGCAGCAGACAAGATTGCCAATGCGGGCTAACAATAAGAAACAAACAACTTGCTGATGGGATCCCTTGAGCAGGCGATTGGCGTTCGCCAGAAGCGCAGTTTCATCAGACCTGTTTCACCGCCTTTCCGCTAGGAGATACAGAAGGCGAGCGCAGAGGGGCGCAAGCAGTGGAGCTTCGACCTAAGCTCGAGGGCTCGTTGCCCAGTGGCTTTGTGACCAAGCATGTGGCAGACCCACCGCTTTGCTTCGTCTTTGAATGGTTTCTAAAGGGAAGCCCAGAGGTGAGACCCCCAAACTTGTGGCAACCACCCGTGATGTTGGATCAACATTTGCTGCGGGCTACGGCCTTTTTGAAAGAAGGACATGGGAGGCCACGGTCATGAACAAGTGTCAGGCCAAGCCACTCGCTCCGAAGCGGTTCTTTGATGTGCTGACTTCGAGTGCAATTTGGAGTGCATTTTGAAGAGCAATTTCACGCTGTGATGGGATTTCGCTTTCTAGCAGCTTTTTGGTTCGAAAGTCTCAGAAGTCTCTGTGCCCGAGGGTCCCCGCCATAGCCCCGGAAACCGAACCGTGCTTTTGCTCCGAAGATTCTGGGCAGTTGTAGCTGTTTCCCAGTGTCTTGCAGCTGCCGCAGTTTTGCGCGGCGCTGACGCGCACTCGGCCAACTTGGTCAAAGCAACGCGGCCAGCGGTTCTTTCGTGGCCTGGAAGAACTTGACGTGCTGGGGGGCAGAGATGAGCTTGAGTCAATAGTTTGAGGACGCTGAAGCGTGCTTCAGCCACGGCATCGATTCAACTGTCAGCTGCTTCGTTTGTAAACGGTGAGCTGCGCTTGGTTGACGGAAACGGCGTGTCGGCTCTGCAGGGCGGCTGGAGATGCATTTGCCGACCAAAGGTGCTTGGGCCCCAGTGTGCGAAGTTGGAGTCACTAGTGGAGCTTCAGCTGTGGCGTGCCGACAGAGAGCTGGCTTGCGTGGCCACAAAAAAATGCCACGGAGCCGTGGCCCGCGGAGCCGTGCGGGAGCCGTCGCCAACCATCTCCGCGAGCTTGCGACTGGGCGAAGGTTGGGTGGGTCTACTTGGCCGCGGCGAAGGAGGCACGTGCCACAGGAAGCTTTCTAGACAATCGGGTTGGCACGACCACTTCACATTGCATCAAGGCCCATGCTTTTACCTGCTCCCTGCTCCTTCTTGCTAGGATGGAGGAAGATATGATGACGAGATTGGAGTGAGTATGGAAGGCTCCCTCAACTGGTGGTCCAACCAGATGCTGAAGAGCTTCTACGAACGTGAGACGCCAGTGACAAAATCGGAAGCGGCGTTTGAGGTTCCCAGAAGTGATTTGGCGCATTCCGATGCAGATGCCATCGGTGTCGGAGAGCCAACACCAATGGGGGCAGAAGCAGTTCGAGCCCAACCACATCGAATCTGGTTGGGGGGAATTGCTCCTGCGCTTAGCTGGCTTTGGTATGCAGCAGGCACAAATACAGCAGCGGCAAATTTAGCTTCAGCATGCGCGCCTGATGCCGCAGATGCAGCTGGCGCGCGGCCCTCGCAGCAGAACCAGATGCAGCAGACTCGCTGCCGGAGGACGAGCGCTTCGAGCGCTTCGAGCGCCTAGAGGTCATGCTGCGGTTATCTGAAAACCTGGGGAACCTTTGCCGCATTCTGGGCTCCCCCCAAATCCCCCATTTGGACAACCTCCGCTGCCTCGCTCTCTTGGACTCGGCGAAAACGGCGGCCGGTCCGCGACCTTTTCCAGGATGCTGCGCGCAAAGAGAAGATGATGCAGCTGTGCAAGCACAAACAAGGAGGAGCACACCGTGTGAGGGGGCAAGAGAGTGCCTGCAGGAAAGCAATGTGTTGTGCGAGGTGGTGTTCAAGGTGGATCGCTCCTTGGACATGTGTGATATTGAGATTTGCGGTTTGGCATGATTCGTTTGAGTTCCTGCCGCTCCAACGGGGAGTTGCGCTGCGAATCTCCAGGCCCGTGGGGAGCGAGTCTATACATCAGAAACAGATGCTGCGGCTGCCCAATGCTTTGTCCATGTTGTGGAGAATAACCTTGTCAACACGCACAATACCTCAGCGATGTGCATCTCTGGGTTCAATATCTGGTCACTGAAATCTACTTAGGCAATGCAACCAGAAGGCCGGAAGTAACAAGACATGCTAACCCCTGACTTATACCCCCCAGCTATGCATGACTCAGAGGATCTGTTGGAAGTACGACATTGTGTTGTTTGCTTGTGCTGCTTGCCTTTTCGTTATTGAGGCTGGGTTGACCTTGCACTGCTAGCGCTAGCAAGGGATTTGTTCGTCATGTGCACCGGTTTCCTTATTTGAATTGTGCATGTCTATTAATATAATATGTATAATATATATATATATATGCGCACTTCTTCTTTCGACTCCTTTTGGCTCTTGTTTTTGTGGACCGGTGATTTGTCTTGGGTAGGGAAGTTACACAGAAACCGACCCCGTGCCCGTCCCTCCCAAGCATCGCCATTTCGGGCGAAGGCCTTTGGTGTGAGACCCACGGCCACAGCGACGGGGGGCCCAGAAAAAGGCCAGAAAGGGGGCAGTGTGAGGGAGATTGCTTGATTTACGCAAGGTTCTGTGTTGTTGATGTGTGTCGTCATTTTCCCCGCACAGCGAAAGCCGCTGGCTGATTTCCCGATTTCCCCACAAGGAATCCCTGGGTTTCAGTACATGGGCTATCAAACAAACATGGGGTCTAGGTTCATGTCATTGTAAGCTGGGCCTTGCCTTGTCAAAGATTGTTTGGCGCACAAGTGTTTCTATGTCTTGTCGTAGAAAAAGCTGAGCTTGGTGCTTAAACCGCGCGAAGCATGACTCATGTTGTATTTGTTGGTAGCACCTTGGGCGGTGTTTGAGGCATGGACAAATAAGCCGGGACTGGCCATTGACAGCTTCGGGTAGTAGGGGCGCGGTGTTGGATCACGAAACTGTGAGGAAGGTTTTCTAGTTCGGCGAAAATCACGTGTGATTTCAGAAATGGTATTCGGAACTTCGACTGCTGGTTTTGTGGACCCCTTTCCTTCTTTTGTAGTTGGCACAGCTTCGACGAACCCTTCGAAGAACGCTTTTGCGGAACCCTCCCAAGAGCCCCAGTTTTCCGTTCGACGCCCGTTTGTCTCGATTTTACCCATTCAGTCAGGAATGTGCCAAGGTGCGTGACCCGACTAAGCACTCGCCTGAGCTGGGCGCCCTAGCGTGCTGCCGGAGAGGAAAAAGGGGCTCAGGGTGAATCAGTGCAACAACAAATTGTATGTGTGATATTCATACACGGCCAGGGTTTTCCTTTTTTTGTGGAGCTTAGGGTTTAGAAAGTTTAGTCACCTGCTTTTGAAACAGACGCCACGAACGACTTGCACAACTCCTTTCAGCTGCAATGCCTTGATGATGAGTCACAGTTTACAGAGATCAAGCGTTATTCACTTCCAGTACTCATATTTTGATTGTCGGGTTTGGATGACTACTGGAACATGGTGGAGGTGTGCTTGACATGCCCAGCAATTCTACTTGCATGCAATGTGGATGAATGCTAGCCAGGCACACCGCCAAAACAGAGTGCAATCGGAAGCAAGCATCGCTCCAGGGTGTTCCATGTCAGTTACATGACGAGTTCGCAATGGCATCAGAGCCGCTGCTGTAGTCTAAGGGCTCTACTAGTCATTCAAGGAACACAAACATCACGAATCTAACATGCCTGATGGGAGCAAAAAGAACCGGTGCTCGCAGTCTTTGAGTTTGTTTCGCTCCCGAAGGTTTGAATAATTGGGACGTAGGGTTGGGCGTCCAGACGGAAGGGGAATTCTCAGCGCTGTATGCCACAATCGGAATGACAGCATGTTGTTTGTTTTGCCCAGCTGTGCTTTTGTTTGGATTTGTCCTCATAAGTGTAAGAATCCGACTGTTCCAATTGAGTGGGCTCAATGTGCCGCGCACTATGTTTGGCCAAGATTTGTTGAAGGGTCTTAAGAAGCGAGAATCTGACAATTGGAGCAGAGCCATCAGGGCCGCAGATCGCTCCAAGGTTTCTGCGAGAATTCCTGGAATATTGGAAGGACGGAGGCAGGGCTGGCGCTGTACTGCAGGCCTTTCCTTGAGGGTCCCGGAACTAGTGCCCTCCCCCTGGAGATTTGAAAGGTCCCGAGGGAACCTGGGGGCAACACCCATGGCAGTGTCATCGATGGCTGGCGGCATGCGTGCGCACGGGCACCGGGCCTGGTCGCCTGGTCCCCGCACACCATCTCTCCCAAACAAACATATTTACACACACTCTCGCCTTCACACAATCCTGCATGCGTGCAATGTCTCACACCAAAGCTTGTTAGAGAGGATCCATTGGGGGCCAACCCAGATTATTTACCGTTCCAAGTCTTGGTGGCACTTTTGGTTTGATCGTCACCATCGTCACCCTCAAACTGTGCTTCGGGAAAAGGTTGTGTTCAACCTTGGTTTCCGACTTGCAATCGGGGTAAGGTTAAACTGTCGCTTTTGGTGGTTAAGGATTAAGAAACTGAAAGGTCCAAGTGGCTGAGGGTCAACCTTCACCAAGCACCTGACTTTGGGTCACTTTTGTTCAGGTCAGCAAAAACGATGGGTAGCTGTACTCGGGTAGCCCTTTGGTTTGTATTGGTTTGAAGCCCTGGCTCCAGAGGCTCCACAGAGAGGCTAAATGGGACGCTATTTTCAAGCCACCAATAGGGAAGCGGAGTTTGCAGTTTGACGTTTTGCCTTTGAAAGTGGTTGCTTGCCTTTGGTTCCCCTTTCAAGCACCAACCAATAGCGGGTTCACTCTTTGGGTATGTGTCGAAAAGCGAGTCACTCCCCAAAATGGGTGGCATGCCTGTTGGTTTCCCTTTGCATATCTTACGGGCGCATTTAGCCCCAGACAACAGCGGGCTCTTCTCGTCTTGCAGGCCGCCTTGAGGCCTCGATGCCTGCGAGCGCGGGCCTCGCGTCGGCTGTGAGGACGGTGGATGTCCATGTAAGGGTGTGTCTCTCAAAGTAGTCATGAATACATATATATATATATATATAGATATATTTATATTTATACATAAATCATATTATATATATATATACACATCTGTTTACATATATATATATATATATATGTATAAGATGTATCACTAGATACATTTCTTAATTCCCAAATTGGGCAGATATACTAAAGGATCACGTGAGTCATATGATATAGTGTCGATTAAAGTAGGATTCGGGCCCCAAAATGGTGCTTCCCCGTCCCTTATAAACCACCCTAAACAGGGTGTGCTCGAATAGCAACATGCCCAAATAGGAATGCCTCAAAATAGGATTGGGATTCCCAAACTGGTATTCATGCAAAACCCGCCAAAAAGAGTATCATAAGTAAGGCCCCCTAAAATGGTTGGCGTTGTGAACCATCCAAAAACGGTGCCCACAAAGAAAGACACACCCACATGTCTTAAGTACGCAGAATGAAACCCTTGCAGTTTACTTGCCACATGGTAGGGTTGTGTTTGGTTTAATCGCAATCTTTAGGGAATGCAGTTGCTTCCGTCAAGTTCTGTGACAGCAGGGACCCCTTCTTTTTCGGGAAAGGAGCTATTGGAAAGGCCCAGAGAAGTGGCAATTTCCCAAAACCCTGCCAGCCTTTGCTGGCACCCCTTTGCTCAGTTATGTTGACGAAAGTTGATTCATCTCCGGGATGGAGCAAGTTGACGTGTCTATTTGTCGCATGTTTCCCTGTGAACATATTGAATATCTTGTGGCACGGCCCAACTCCAATCATAATCTGATGTGTACTTGTGCGCAGTGTTCCACTGGCCGACCATTTTGGTAGAGACCAAAGGGAATGGGTTTTGTGCGTTTAATTGAGTCACAGTTCACTCCCAGATAAGCTGAAGGATGGCAGGGTACGGTCCCAACCAGTGCGGCAAGCGCCGCTCCTTCTATGTTTCACCATTGGTTTCAAGCATCAACCCTGAAATATCAGATTCCAATGCCAATGCGACTCAAACAGTGCCCACTGGGCAAAAGCGTGTTCAGCCCCATGCGTATGCAGGTTTATATGGGTTCTGCATGGGTTCTTCCAAGCAGCTTTGCTCGCTCAGAAGTGGAAGTCTTGGCGGAGCTCGTCAAGAATGGGCAGCGTAGCTCGGCAATCCCAGGTGTTTCCCCCGGCCATAGCCATAGCTCAGGGAGGTTCCAGAGAGGTTCCCAACTGAGAATACTCCGGCTTATCAGCAGCTTGACGCGCGGTTTGTTTCCAATGGGAGGCGGGTTCCCCCAAAAAGAAATTGTTTTTACTTTTTTCCCTTGGACCACTACCGACAAGCACACCCTCAAGAATATGCATACCCACATGGTGCCGTACATCTCGAGATTTGTTGCGAGTCGCTTGCCATGCGTGGGTCGTGGAAGTGACACGGCCGTGTCTTTGCATTTTGGCATGGGCCAATGTTGCGGAGTGGCTTTTGCCCGATGGAAGGTGAAGAACTTTGCACATGTGTTTTTTGTATAGCGCATGACTGAACTTGAGACTCCGCAAAAGTGCAGTGTATGGGGCATCGCTGGATTTAACGTCAAGCTACGATGCTCAGAAACGGTTGTCGCTCTCATCGCCAGTTCTCTCTCAGCCGAGGCAACTCTCATCATTGGCAGCAGGCGGGCAGTGAGTTGCTGCCGCCAGGTTTGTTCTTGCTCAGTGACAATTGCCATGGTGCAGCCATGACCATACCAGGGGTAAAATAGTCCTTTATACAGGACACTGTGACACTTACCGATGTCGTCCAATCATGAGCATCATCCGGGTTTTTCAGTCACACCGCCGCACGCTGCGAATCAATCGGGTTTTCTCTTGGAATGCTTCCTGCGGCAAAGACCGGGCAATCCTAATAACCCGAGGGACAGCGCCCTTGTCCTATCCGCAGTCCGTGTTGGGAAATCACGAAAATACAAGGGAAATCTGGCATAAGGATGAAGGATTGAACCCGCTAAATATGACCCCTAGACTGTCACCCGGATCCCCTGGAAAACGGACGGGGACCCTTCAAGTTCCATGATTTTGTTTGGAAGGGTACAAACTGGAGGTCTACAAAGGTTACCAAAGCGTATTGCAGGGGAACCAGTTTGAGGAACCCTGTTGAGTGACAGCCTTCGAGCCGCACACACATTCCCCCTACCTGCCAATCAGGAGGGCTCAAGAGGTCCCTAGTAACACCTCCTCCCTTTTTATTACCCCAAGTTCTACCCTTCATAGACAATTGTGAGGCTCGAAACAAGGGATAATGCAGGTTGAATTGCTAGAGGTCCTGTCAATCCCTTTCTGACGGAGAGGGCATGGCGAACTTTCAGGCGTGGAGGCTCTACTGCGAGCGATGGGGTGGCGGGGTGTCCGAACCTGAGCTTCGGGGATCGGGGTAAGGCGTCTGACACATCCCACACATACACGCACACACTATACATATATACATGAACATACATACATATATATATATAATGTATTACCTAGATATATCGTTTCTTTTTTGTGATTATTTCTTGCTGGGGTGAAAGTGTATCACAGGTTTCTGCCCTGCAGTGGCCGGATGTATAGTGCAACAATGAGGTGCAAAGAGGTGTCATCAAGAGTCGATTCAATGTCGTTAACTTTTCTGCGGCGTGCTCAAAAGGGGTTTGCCTCCGTGATGTGAGCGCCGAACAACTCCAACTCCAACGCGGAACAAGGCATTTAGAAGCGAAGCCTTATTTTCTAAAAAAGCGCTACGATTCAAGGAACGCACACACGCGGCACTGTGCTGCATCGTAGATGTCGCGGTTTCCAGACGCGAGTTGGTAACCTGGATGTCGCTCTAGTAGACTAAAGTCCCAGCATCACCAAAGTTTCCATGGCCTGCTTTTGGCCGCCCCTGTTGCTCAAAGTGATCAACACCCCGAGCAACACCAGTTGTTCCGCCTACTAAAAGTACGTAGATGTCGCAGTGGTCTGTAGACTAAAACGGTCGACGCACCCAGCATCACCAGCTCTTCAACAACAATTCTCCGCTTGCTAGGAACAGATGTCTAGGCTGTTGACCACAGTGATCGACACCCCCAGCTTCACCAGCGCTCTAGACGTTAGAAGCTCGACTTTTGAAAGTCCCCCAGCGGTATCCAATTTCTTCACAACACGAATTACGAAGTTGCGGTTTTCGAGCCCGACATGACTCGGTCCGCTTTTGACGGTCTTTGTTGACTAAGTGGCCGACACCGCCAGCATCACCAGCGTCTTTACAAAGACATTAAAATAAAATAAATGTAAAAGTAGATGTTGCTCTGGTGGTAGACTAAAGTGGTCGACACCCCTCAGCATCAGCAGTGCTCTAGAAAAGGAAGTGCGGTTCTGCTTAGATGTTGCGAGAATCCGTAGACTAAACTGACCGACACCCCCAGCACCACCTGCAGTCAGAACGTTAAAGAGTTGCAAGCGTATGATTTGTCAGCGTCCGTAAGGGTTAACTAAGTAGCCGGGAACTGTCTGGAGTGAATACCTTCGACGAGGACGGGAAGAGCTCGAAGACTTAGAGCAGAAGAGGCAAGTCAAGGAGAATGAAGCAACGATGACCCTGAGCAGACCAATGCAGACGGAACAAGTATATATATATATACACTATATGTTTGGCCCATTTGGCGGGTAAATGTGGGTAAATACTGGGTTGGAGTTGTTGGGCACTGACATGTCTCAAACCAGCTGTGTGTGTTTTGAGGGTACCCTCCCCGGGATTGATTTAAAGGGAAACCAAAGGGAAACCAATGATCTTGAAGTTTCACCTATTCCGACAAATACCCAGAAAACTGCTTCCCATCTTTCAGGATGGTTGCAAACGACACGAACTGGAAGAATGGGCAACATATCCTGGATTGCATGCAACATGGGTGTGCCGTAGAACTAGGGCCATATCAATGCCTAGTTGCCGGGTGGCCCTGGCAGAAAAAGGCGGGTTGATTCCATTTTGAGTGGGTCCCAGCCCACAAAAACGAATTTAGAGGGGGCCAGCAGTCAGACTTGTTCAGCATTTGAGGCGGCTGCATCAAGCATCAAGCGGGCTTGCCCAAAAAAGGGGGGACCCCCAAAATGAGCTTAGGTTTTGCTGCGGGCTGTTTTTTAAGCCGACACTGGAAAGCCCGAGTGCCCGAGCTGACATCATTTGACCATTTTGTTTGTCAGGAATGACCCATACAAGCACAACGCCGAATTCCTGCTGCTTGGCCCAACTGGATGGGTGGAACCGAACCCATTGATGACCGGTTCTTGGGGTATATATATATATATATATGTACAAATATATATATATATATATATATATGGTCAAAGTCAAAATGACTGGAATTGATCATGAGTCATTTCCCTTAAACCTCCCATTTGGAGGGCGGCTTGCATAATCAAGTAAACTCTCCAAGTTGAAATGACCCGCAACAAAGCACGGAAACCAAGTGGGCAAGATTGCGGACCCAGAGCTGGTCCTGAGTGCCGGCGCAGTGTGGAGCCAGGACGCCACAGCGGCCTGGTCAGTTCGATTGTCAAGCACCAGAACAAGCCATGTGCTCTTCCGCATGGGCTCCAGTTTGAGCAACTTTCACGGCAGGTTCGGCAAGGCTGTACGCGCTGTCAAAGAAGTGCACGAGGCGAAACGCCAGGAAACAGAATCCTTCAAGAAATGGGAACGCCAGCTTTGGTTGGCACTTTATGGTCAAGTCGCCTAATTAAGTGTTTAGTGTGTTCCTTTCACACACAAAAAAAACTTCGAAATGTGAAAACATGCTATTTGAAAATTAATGCTAGCAAAGCATGGTTCCCTTTGATCCGTGGCCACGGCCAAGCTTGGGCCCGGTGGCGTTGTATTTCCCGTTGTGCAGATTTTGGTCGTTCATGCGGAGAGAGTTGAGAAGGGAGGGGGGGCAGGACGGGCCAAAATTTCGTCCGTCGCGTAGTGCGAGACTGGAAGGGAGTCCTAGATGTCGATTTGATCACCCCTTCTCTAGTGTGTCCTCGATTTGCAGGTGGTCGGAATGGTGACCCACTTGCACTGCCCACATGCCGTTGTGATTGCATGGTGCCGAATGCTTTCTGGCCATACGGGAGCGATTTGGGGTGGTCAGTAGTCATGCTACTGGAGTTCACTTTGCTAGCTAGAAGGTGTTGCTTGAATCATTGAGTCTTCGTTGAGCGCTGGTACGTGCAAACAAGGTTGTACCTTTGCGTGGCGCTGCAGCTGCCCCCGTCAAAGATGGTGAATGCACATTCCTGGAAACTAAATGTTTGCTCAAACGAGCGTGACTGTGACTTTAGAATATGCGAACACGACGCGCGTGAACTGCAAATGGAGGTGTGCCCCAATAGCTTCAATTTGCTTCCCGGCAAAACAAGGGGCGAGATTCAACTGGTTTGTGTTTCATGCATCTATAGCAAGCAGAATCAGATATATTGCGCACGCACTAACCTTGGCCGCTTCCGAGCCATCACTACGATCACACTTCTTGTTTGCACGTAATGGCAGGCAATCGTGCTTCATTTGGGTGTGTCTTAACATAGAGGACCCCAAAACATGGCCCTTTGCTTACCAAAAAAACAAAACGCAAACGCACACACACACACACACCCAAGTGTTAGGATGCAGAGACGTTGATGCTTCGCCAAGGTTGGGCTTTCTAGACCTATTGGCAACTCGTGCCTGTATGGCTTGGCGCTCAGCTTTGAAACAACCACCCGAAAGGAGTCCCCTGTTTGGAAGGGCTGTGCCTAGAACATTGCATTGGCAGGATAGCATTCCTTCAACCTTGGTCTAGTTGCAACATCACCTGTTGGGCCAATTGGAGATGAGTGTCTTTTAGATGGTGTTAAAAAGAAAGAACCCTTCTGGCTCCTCCTTGCCTCGTGGTGTTGATGTGTTTGGTTGCATGAAAGCCTCAGCGCTTGACTTCTCTTCTGGCTTGGTAGGGAGCATATGTGTAGCCTGCCAGGGTCGCTCAATCTTGACGGGGTTGACACACGCCTTGTTGTGACCGTGTGTTAGCATGTGCCACCGAGAATGCGAGCCCCACATAAGCCCGCCTCACCAATGCTCACCAGTTTGTGAACGCCTGAAAGGTTGATGATGCTGAGGCAGTATGTGTTCTGTTTGCACAACTGAGTGATCCATGCGAATACGCTGACTGACAAGGAACGGACAGGAACCTTCCACTGTGGATAGCACAGAATTGTGCCTAAGATTCAGAAGTGTCATGAATGATTGGCTTCAAAAGAAAACACAATATGCAAAGAGACATACAAATGGTTCTGGGATTGGGAAGCACAACGTCCGGAGTAGGAGATGCCATTGATCATCATGGATGCCGTCGTGAGGTTTTTGCCATTGCGGTGTTTGTGCGCTTTGCTTGTGCTGTGTGCTGTGTGTGTGTGTACGTGTGCATGTGTGTATGTGTAGATGCGTGTAATCAATCACGTGTGTGTATGTATATGCGCTTGAGTGCCTTGTGAGTGTGCTGTATGTGCCCTTTGTGCGCGTGTGGTTGTGTGCCATGTAAGTATGCTTGCCGTGTGTGTGTGTGTGTGTGTGCGTGCGTGCGTGCGTGCGTGCGTGCGTGCGTGCGTGCGTGCGTGCGTGCGTGCGTGCGTGCGTGCGTGCGTGCGTGCGTGCGTGCGTGCGTGCGTGCGTGTGCGTGCGTGCGTGCGTGCGTGCGTGCGTGCGTGCGTGCGTGCGTGCGTGCGTGCGTGCGTGCGTGCGTGCGTGCGTGTGTGTGTGTGTGTGTGTGTGTGTGTGTGTGTGTGTGTGTGTGTGTGTGTGTGTGTGTGTGTGTGTGTGTGTGTGTGTGTGTGTGTGTGTGTGTGTGTGTGTGTGTGTGTGTGTGTGTGTGTGTGTGTGTGTGTGTGTGTGTGTGTGTTTTTGTGTGTGTGTGTGTGTGTGTGTGTGTTTTTAGCATGTTATTCTAAGCTTGAAAGGGTTTGTGGTACTCACTTGCTGCGCTCTAGCCCGACCTTGCCGCTTGGTTTTCCTATGTGGTTTTGTGAAGAGTCATGGCCCCAACAGGTCTAGCGTTTATGTCTGGGTCCTTTGGGCGACTGAGAGTAAGGCCTATAAAAACCTTTTGTTTCAAGGTTAGTGGAGCCAACATGCATTGGTTTTTGGCCGCTCAACTGAGGAGTTGTACTCTTCTCCAGTGATGGACCCGAGCTACCAGGGGACAGACCCGAGCTACCACTGGAATTGGAATGAGTTCCGTGCTCGGCTGCGGGTTTCGGCGAAGTGCAGCTGGATGTGTTCAAGGTCTCACTGCATGAGTTCCGGTTGTTGCACGTTTTGAGTTTGGACCATTTTTGCGGCTAACAAAGAGCTTGGACTGTTTGCGGCCAATGCACTCAGGAAATGCGAGGTTTTCAGAGATGTGCTATTATGTTTTTGTTTCCCCTTTTTTTTCCTGATCTGCTTAAACGGAATCAGCTGACCTGTGATTCCCAGCGACCAATCTCCAACCTTGCAGGGAGTTTTGAAACGGAAGGAGAACCTGGAAAGAGCAGCCAATACAAGGTCTTCCCTTTTTTCTTTGCTTCGCTTAGTGCTTCTTAGCATTACAAGGGGGATAACGAAGAGGGTGGACTTGCAGATACCTTCATTGCCACCCCCCAAAAGAATCATGCAATGTTTGCAGGAATAATCAATCAATAGTAGTGGACTTTGAAGGGAGCTATGGGGGGTATCCATCTCTGGACAAGCTTTAGAGAGGTTTTACAAAGGGCCCCCTCCGAAAGGCCCTTTTGGAGGTCCATGCAACGTGGATTGCTGTCGCAGCTTCGGCAGCTGTTTGAGCCTCCAATGTGGACCCGCCAAAGTGCGGAGAACATTCAGAGCAGTACCTACCGAGTACGGAATGCAGGTACAGCTTTTGCAGTGTGTTTCGCGTGTCTTGTGTGATTTTGCTCTTTGGCAAGTTGGCTCGTTGGCTCTCCTGCTTTTTCGACATGTGTTCCATCCCTTTTCGCTTGGCACTTGGAAGTGCTGTAAAGCCAAGGCTTTGAGCATGAGCTAAACCAGGGAGGATTGGGATGAAAGGAGCTCACCGATTTTGGGCCACACGGATCAACGGCCTAGGTTGTGTGTTGGTGAGCGTAGGACGTTCACTAGCGATGAATCGATGATCGCACAATGCACGCCATGTCAGTCGCCACTACAAACGATGAATATGATTGAGCATAGCTACCTAGAAGTCAGTTCAAGCCATTGGGCACCTTTCCTGTAGAAGCACCCCACGTTTGCTGCGTGCGGGGCCAATCATCCTGGCTTGTTCCTGTTGCTTTGTTTATTCAACTGTTGATTGTCAACTTGTTCGATGCACTATGAGTCAACCTCAAGAAATCTACAATCTTTTTACACAGCTTCACCTGGGGCAACCTTTCACCTCGGACGGTTTGGGCAAATGACTAAGCAGCCAACAGTTCGCAGCAAACAGTTTTTCTTCCACGAATCTGCTGCTGCGTGTGATTCAGTTTCCCCACTATCCATCAGGGTCCTTGGTGGTTGAACCACCCCAGCCGTTGTTCTCCGATGGCAAAGAAGCGGCGCCTTGATGAGCTCTTGGGCGTCCTCGAAGAGTTGGAGGCTGGGGCGAGGGAGACGCCTCAAGCACATGGCTGTGTCTCTCAAAGGGAACCGCTCAACAAACACGGGTGGTTTCCCTTTTAAGCCCCGTTGAAGCAATTCCAAGAATGGTACCTCATCCCCACTCAAAACAAGGGCTGATGATGTCCTTCCAAATAAGCAAGCAACCCAAAATGACGCGGCCCGCAAGGGTTCTGGCGCTCCCACGGCTTGCCAGGACCTGGCTGCGGCCGGGGAGGCGCTTCAGCAGCGGCAGAGCGAGGTGGCGAGCCCCGCCCCGAAGCTGGAGCTTCGGCTGAAAACCGAATCCAGGGCGGCCGGGCACCGTGCCCCCCACCTCCCGGCTTGTTTACTCAAATGAAGCCTGAATACGCTTGGCACGCCGGCAAAAAGCAAAAAATGCCTTAAGGCAATGGAGGCTTGATTTGGAGGAAAGAAGGGGCTGGGGGGTTGTTTGTCCTGTGCGGTTGCAACATTTGGCTTAACTCAGTTTGTGTTTTCTTTCTGTTTTGCTAGGGCTTTGCTACAGGGGCTCCTCCTTTGCGGCGAGCCTTTTGGTGGATTCTTCCACATGTACCCTTGTGACCTTTGTTGACCTCTTTTGGCCGACCCTAAAGTGGCCCACCCAAAGGTTCGAATGCTACCATATAATCATTACCAAACTTCAACAGTAAGGACCTACGGCGTTCCTGGGGGAACTCAGGAACGTTCGGAGGGCAACTTGTGAGAACAAACAGTTGCAACCAAGGGGAACCAATGGGTGTCTACTACACTGGACCTTGTGATGGACATCATTTAGCTGTTTTGGTTTTGTTTTATCAACCACTGAGATCGTTCCCGGTTGGCAATTTTCTATTGTGGTCAACCACTGACAGCGTGTTCTAAGATTGGTGGCTCCACTTGACCTATGGCTTGCCTTCCCAAAGGGTCTATCCCCCCCCGCCCCAACCCCCCCACCCCCACTCCCCCCAACCCCCCCACCCCCACTCCGCCCACCCCCCACCCCCACTCCCCCCCACCCCCACTCCCCCCCCAAAACCCCCACCTCCCCACCCCCCCAAAACCCCCCACCCCCCAAACCCAACCCCTTCCCAACCCCCCAACCCCCCACCCGGCCTCGGACGGCCGGAGGAGGAGGTTTGCCGCCTCGCCGGGCGCTTGCGGCTGTCAGCGCCAGCGGGGCTGCCGCTGAGCGGCGCGGGCTGGCCACAGGCACCGCTGCCGCCCAGGCCGGGGCGGGGGGGCCTTTGAGGGGGGGGGGAGGGAGGGGGGGGGAGGGAGGGGTGGGGAGAGGGGTGGAGGGAGCTTTTGGGAGGGTTCAAAGAGGGAAGCAGGGAGCAAACCAAACGTGTTTTGTTTTGTTTGTTTGCTTGAGGGGAGGCGTTCTTTTCGGAGATACTCAGCTTTGGAGCTTAGGCCCGAAAACCCGAAAAAAGAATGGGACACCCTTGTTGAGGGATTTTGAAGGGACGCTTTGGGGTTTCACATTTGGGAAAGCATTCCTAGGAACCATAATAGGAGAAACCGAAGGGAAAGAACACCGTGTTAGGGGTCCCCTAGCTCAGGCACACCCATTCAGATTCATTGCTCAAATGCAAGCTTTGACGTGGCAGCCACAAATCACTATAGCGTGGGATGCCCTTGCTTGCTTTGCCCGCGATGATTCTGATCAGTTTGACACAATGTGATCGTTCTGTTCGTATGCGTGCTGTTTGGGCCACTCATACGGTTCAAACATACAATCCCACAAAACGCACAACAAATTAATCACGGACCAAATGGACACGTTTTGGCCCTTCGTTTGCTGCTTTCTGCTCGCAGAGGTTCTTCCTGCCCTGGCCAACACTCCAGGACGGGCATCCGTGCGAAGTTGGCCCCGCCCGAGTCAAGTGACGTGGTGCGTCGAAAACAAAAAGGGAACCCCAAAATCGGTGGTTTGAACCAACCACGGGGCAATCCTCCGCAGAGGGACACATCCGTGTTTTTGAAGCTGTTGCTTCCTGAGATTTTACGGAATGTGGACAAGAGTCATTTTATTGATTGGGGGCTAAAGGCTGAGGTAGATATTCTCATACACTAGGAAACTCATTCAATACAGATCTTCAACAACGCCACGACACAGGTCGCGTCGGTGCGTAGTCCGTGTAAGTGTCAGAAGTGTACGACGGCCAGTGTCTTTTGTTCGCTAAGAGTCCGTCTTGTAATTGTTGGGCAGTTCCCGCAGTTCCGTGGAGGGGAGCGAATTTGCAGAACTACCCTTCAACACACAGCTAGTCCGGGTGTTTCCAAAAGGATAGGTTGGTTCTCTGGTAAACCACAAGGAAACCAACCGCCTGTTGAGTCTCTCAATTGTACAAAATATCCCTTGGTGCCGGATCTCAGTTCTGGGCCGGATCTCAGTTCTGTTGGTGCGACTTGAATTGAGGGACCTGGGTTCCTGTTGTTGTGGACTGGACGTTCTATTTGGATGTTCAACCTACTTAATAAGTGTGTTGCGACCAGGTTATGTGTCAACCAATCCCCGTTGAACATCCAAGTAAGGCAAGCCGAGTTTTCCTGTGGGTATTCGCAACGTACCGAGAGTCAGGGGATCTGTTTAACCTCCAGCCGGCACAGCAACCGACACAGATATTGGTAGCCCACTGTTGGTTTGGGGCGTTGGGGGGACCACCTAGGGGAACAAATGATATTATCCATGGCGTGGGCATTTGGAAGTTTCTTGTGGACGAAAGACATCTTGCCAAGACATGTTCGATCGAGCGCATTTGGGGATACACGACGGAAGTCTGCCAAGCCTTGGAGTCGTCGCATCATTCCGCTCTGCTGATGTGGGTAAAACACAAAGCCAACAAAGCCAGGAACAAGCACAACCCAAAGACGTACGAGATTGGCCATCCACAAACCTGCAAGCAGATGAACCACATTGCGCCCCTAGACACCTCACAGGCTAAGATGATGTGCCCGAACTTGGCTCTCCGCCCAAGGGTTGGTGTGTCATGTCAACCGTGTAAAAACATTGGGTGCAATTCTTCGGCGTCGTTTTGAGTTTTTTTTTTTTTTACACTGCCCCTATCCACTAAATGGCTACCACAGTTGAGCTTGGACCATTTTGGTGGCCGGGGCAGGGTCTAAGGGTTTCCCTTCACTTGTCGATCCAGGGTTTCACCCTTCAGACTACCACCCTTTTTGTGCCCTCACAATCTGCACCCAAATGCAACTACCCCCTAAAAACACGCAAGTATGTTGTGATTGCTCAACATAGTGTTCCTTGCTTTCTTATGATTTGTGGCATGTGTTATGATATGTGTTACGTTATGACGGTGCTGGTTGCGGTATGCGCTGTATTGTTTTGACGTGTTTCTGGTTAGCTCATTTCTCTGATGGATCCCATGGACCCTCCATGGATCGCTGCAGATGGTATGTGCATGGTTCCCTGCGGATGGCCCCCCCCCCCCCCCCCCCCGAGGATGAGATGACCCGGGCCTCGGCGCTGCTGAGCGGCGCCCGGCGCGCGCCGCCGCCGGAGGTGCGGGTCACGCGGCTCGAGGAGAAGGGCGCCTGGGCGGTGGAGATGAGGCGCGGTGGGCCGAGCGTCTCAGTTTTGACGATGTCACTTTGGA